GCAGCAGCAGCAGCAGCAGCAGCAGCTGCTGCTGCTGCTGCTGCTGCTGCTGCTGCTTTCGTCTCCGGTGTCTCTTCTTGCTTCAGCAGCGCAGCAAAGAGGCACCAGTTTCTCAGTCTCCCCAACTTAAGGGGGGGCCCCTAAAAGCTTATGAGGGGGGCCCCCGAGGGGCCCCCCAGGGGTCCCCCTAGGGGGTCCCCCAGGGGCTCCCTGCTGGCCCTGTGGGGCCCCCGTGCTGCTGCTGAGGCCCATAGACCTTTGTAATGAAAGCACTTAAAGACTTCTTCATGGAAAGGCACTTGGGACTTATTTAGAGAAACAAATGAAACACAAGATTGAAAACTAAGTCCCAAATGAGCTGCAGCAAAGCCCCCTAAAGTCAGGGAGGTGCAGCAAATGGGGCCAGTGCAGCAGCAAAATGTTGCAGGCTTTGTGTGGGGCCTTTTGGCCCATTGCTTGCCCTTTGCCTAATAATCTGGATGGCCCAGGAGGCGTGGCTGCTGCTGCTGCTGCTGCTGTTGCTGCTGCTGCCAGCAGGCCCTACTTGTCTCTATTGCTGCTATTTATTATTAAGCAGCAGTGGAGGATGAGGGGAAAGAGGGGAAGGGAGCGAAGCTCGAGACCAGGCGGAGACCAGTGGTCACGGGTCACGTCGGGAACAGCCAGTGGGCGAGTGCAGCGAGGCTTTTGGGCCTCAAAGCCAAAAAAAGGCAAATGATATTATTAAAAATAAAGTAATTAAATAATTTGAGTCAAAAGAGTCGAAAGAAGTGGAAGAACGGCGGAGTTTCTCTGCGGTGTATGTACAGCCCGCACCGGCTGCTGCCGCCGCAGAGCTGGCTGAGAGGCGCAGGAAGGCATGCATTCATTTCATTATTTCTTTTTTTGAATTTATAATTTCATTTTGTTTGACAATTCCAATTTTAATTTCCCTAGCAGCACTTGGTAGACACAAGAGCCTCCTGCCTTCGCCCAGCGAGCCTCCAGACCACCACCACCATCCCAGCCCCCCGGCTGCACTCTCTCTGTTTTTTTTGTTTTATTCCTTTTGTGTTATTATATTTGTCTTCATTTTATTTTATTACCTATTATTAAAGCGAGATAAAGGAGCTTTCTTTGAAGACTTGGCCCCGCTCAACGCGCATGCACCCCAAGTGACCAGTGGTCACCTCCACTGGTTCTGCGGCGAAGATTCCACAGCCCAGCCAATCCCATGAGGCGTCATGAGCCATTCAGCGCTGCCACATAGCTGCACCCGACCTCTCCTTGCTGCAGCAGCTGCTGCTGTGCTGCTGCTGCTTGCTGCTGCTCTTCGCGCCTCCCCCGCTGCTGCCAGCTCCCCCAGTGGCCCTTTGGGGCTCCACCTGCAGCAGCAGCAGCACGAGCAGCAGCAGCAGCAGCACGGGCAGCAGCACGAGCACCACCGCCTGTGGGACTTCGGCGCTTCTGCCCCTCCCCCTCCCCCCTACCTGCAGCAGCAGCAGCAGCAGCAGCAGCAGCAGCGGAAGCAGCGCCAGGAGGCCGAAAGGCAACTCGCCGAGTCGGGCCTCCACAACTTCTCCTCCGAGGGGCCCCAGGGGGCCCCCCATGGGCCTTCCCAGAGTCGCCAAGAGGGTACAGAATCTGTTGATGATGAAGTTGGCAAAAAAAGCAAAAGAAGAAGACCCCATTCTTCTTTGCGCTACAGAAATGCAAATGCTGCTGCTGCTGCTGCTGCTGCAGCAAGGGCCAGAGCTGCTCCAAAGCCAGCTCCCCTCCGCCGGCCCGAAGTTGCTGCGACGCTGGCATCCGCGTCAGCAGCAACAGACGCAGCAGCAGCAGCAGCAGCAGCAGCAGCAGCGAAGCCCGGCGGGGCCGCGCGCCCGCACGAAGAAGCCGTGGGGACGGGCGCCTCCGTGGCGGGCTCAGGGGCCGCAGCGGGCCCAGCAGCAGCAGCAGCAGCAGCAGCAGCAGCAGCAGCAGCAGCGGAGCCGAGGGAGAAGAACTTGTTTCTGGCAGATGTAGCAGCAGAAGCTCCCGAAGTGCCGCTGCTGGAGCTGCTGAACAAAATAGAAGGCGGGAAGCAAGACAGTGTTGCTGCTGCAGTAGGTCGGGGGTCTTTGAGGGCTTATGCAAGTCTGAAGCCGCTGCTGGACGTTGCTGCTGCAGCGCAGCAGCAGAAGCAGCAGCAGCAGCTCTCCAGGACCACGCAGCTGCGCAAGGAGCGCCTCGAGCTGCTGCAGGAGACCCAGGTGCGCAGAGCAGCAGCAGCAATGAAGCACCAGCAGCAGCTCGTGCTGCAGCGCGAAAAAGCAAAACAAGAACAGAAAGAAAGGCAGCAGCAAGCAGTAGAAGCCCGCAAGGAGGCAGCAAGGCACTTTGACGAGCAGCGAGTGAGGCGGCAAGCCTGGCTTTAGGGTTTAGGGTTTAGGGTTTAGGGTTTGGGGTTTAGGGCTTAGGGCTTAGGGTTTTGCGTCCTCGGCTTATTTAGGGTTTAGCGTGAAGGTGCAGACTTTGTTTAGGGTCTACGGTCTAGGGTTTTGGGCTCTTGAGGGCGTAAGGTCTACGGTTTAGGGTTTGGGGTCTAGGGTTTAGGGTTTAGGGTTTAGGGTTTAGGGTTTAGGGTTTAGGGTTTAGGGTTTAGGGTTTTTCAGGCGGCGCGAGAGCGGCAGTGGGAGGAGCGCTGGAATGCTTTGAAAGAAGGAGACAAAGAGCGAGCAGCTCGGCAGCAGGAGCAGCAAGAGAAGCTGATGCAGCAGCAGCTGCTGCTGCTGCAGCAGCAGCGGGAAAAGCAAGCAGCAAAAGCAGCAGGCGCTGCTGCAGGCGGCCACCAGCAGCAGCAGCAAAACGAAACAGAAACCCCAGAAGCAGCAAGACAGGGGGGGACCCTTCCTTCGGATTTGCTGACAGCAGAGCAGCAGGTGCTGCAGTTCAAGTGGCGGCAGCAGAAGCGGCAGGCTGCTGCTGCTGCTGTTGCTGCTAACGCTGATCCTGCGGCTGCTCCTGATCCTGCTGCTGCTGCTGCTGCTGATGCTGCTGCATAGTTAAGGCTGGGAAACACAAAGGCTCTCAACTTCGAAAAAGATAACAGAGCTGCTGCTCGGTCTGCATGCAGCAGCAGGAGCAGCTGCTGAGCTGAACAATCGTGCATATTCCGCAGCAGGACTAGCTGCAGCAGCAGTAGCAGCAGCAGCAGCAACAGAAACAGCAACAGCAGCAACCAAAGGAGGAATGGGAATAATGTTGAAGTGCAACTGCGACAGCAGCAGGAGTAGGGGCGCTCTAGTCAGCAGCAGCGACAGCAATTAAGCAGCAGCACAAAGAGTTACAGCAACGAGAGCAGCAAAGGAAGCAGCGGCAGCAGCATCAGCAGCAGCAGCAACAGCAGCAGCAGCAAACCACGAAGCTTGTGAGTAAGAAGCGCTGGCTGTTGCAGCCAAACAAGGAGATTAGGCAGTGCTAGCTCTCTCTCGGGTGTACGTACACCACAGCAGCAGGGAGTAGGGAAGGGCTCTTGGTTTTTGAGGTGTACATACACCTGAGGCAGAGTACTTCAGAGGCCTTCTGTGCATTTTGAGTTGGGGTGTACGTGCACTGCAGCTGCGAAGTGTGCTGCATGCGGTTTACTTTGGGGTGTACGTACACCCGAACGCGAGCGAACGCGGAGCATCGAAAGCTGCCGCTGCAGTGTACGTACAGCGCGGGCGAGAGGCGTGTCGGCTCTCGTTAATTTTTTAAAATGAATTTTTACAAACTTTAAATAAAAGAAAAAAGGGGAAGCAGTTTAGTTTCAGCGGCGGAGTTCGAGTGCCTGGAGTTGGGTACACCGCGAGGCGCCCGTGGTCCATCGAGCAGCAGCAGCGGCGGGCTGCTGCTGCTGCGCAGCAGCACTTTGGGGTTTTAAAGGGTTAATTTTTCATTTTTAGGGATAAAAATACAAATTATTTTAACTTTTTATTTCCCAAATGGAGTTTTGTTGCGAAACTCCGCAGCGCCTTTGTCTCGCTGTCGGCGGCCGGCCCGCAGCAGCCGCCACCCACTGGCTGGCAGCAGCCGCGGGGCCCCCGGGGGCCCCTTTTCCCTTCTTTTTCCCCTTTTTGAGATTATATTAGATTATCTTTCTAATATATTTGGTAAAAACGCAAAAAGCATGCAGCAGACAGCCCCAAAGGCCATCTTCCGGGGCCCCTGGTCCCCCGCAGGGTCTAGCCACAGGGGCCCCTGAGCCCCTGGCCACGAGGCCCCTCTTTGCCTCCATCTTTCTCCCCCAAACCATTTATTTGCCTTTTCTGTTTACGGAGGGGCCCCTTGTCCGCAGCCGACTCGGAGATTGCTGCGGCGCCGTGCTGCTGCTGCTGCTGCAGCTGCTGCTGCTGCTGCTGCTGCTGCTGCTGCTGCTGCTGCTGCGTTGAGCCTAGCCAGGCTGGCCGCCGGGGAGCTTCCCAGGGCAACAGCGGCCACCCCCCGCAGCGCCACAGCGCTGCAGCAGGGGCCCTAGGGCTGGGGCAATTGGTGGCAGTGTGTTATTCTGGGTCGGTGTTTTGCTGCTGTTCTCCAGGTGACCCTGCTGCTGCAGCAGCAGCTTCTGCAGCCGCTGCTGCTGCAGCAGCTGCTTCCGCCGCCGCTGCAGCAGCAGCAGCAGCACTGGCGCTGCTACGCAGACAAGCAAGATGAGCGGGCGGGACCGGGGCCCCGTGTTCCTGGGGCCCCCCGTCGCGGGGGCCCCCCTGGGGGGCCCCCCGGAGGGCCCCCCGGGGGGCCCCTCGGGGGGGGCCCCCAGGGGGCCCCCGAGGGGCTCCCGCAGCAGATCTTCTTCTATGGTGGCCCCTTCTCATGTGCCTTCTCCCACTCCAAGGAGACAGTCTCCTGTGTCAGAGAGCTGCAGCAGCAATGTGGGCAAAGACAGCAGCAGCAACAAAATTGAATTAGCAGCAGCAGCAGCAGCAGCAAGTGGGGATAGAGGGGTAGCAGCAGCAGCTGAGGCTAGAGATAGAGCAGCAGCATTTATTGCTTCATCGGCAGAGATAGCAGAGGGGCCACAGGAGCAAGAGCTGAGATATAAAATAAAATGAAATAAAATAAATTAAAATAAATTAAAAAGATTAAAATTGCATTTATATAATCTAAATTAGACTTTCACACCACACTTTGCATGCAGGCTGAGGTGTAGGTACACTCCAACTCCGCTCCTGGCTTTTTTACCTGCATGCTCTTTTTCTGTTGTGACATTGGCTGCTGCAGGAGACCAGCAGCAGCAGCAGCAGCAGCAGCAGCAGCAGGTCGTCTTCTGAGGAGGCCCCCTTGACTCCCCGCGGAGGCTCCCCTGGGCCTCAGGTCCCTAGGGGCCCCTATGGCAGCTGGAAGGGGCCCCTAGCTGCAGCAGCTGCAGCAGGACCTGCTGCTGCTTCTTCTGCTGCTTCGCCTTTCGAGCTGCAGCAGAGAGCTCCGGACTCCTGGCGGCAGCTGATGGCCCCCAACGGGGGGCCCCCCGGGGGGCCCCGTAGGGGGCCGCTGGGGGGCCCCCCGCGAAAGGCGATGCAGCAGAACAAGCAGCAGAAGGTCCTGCTGCAGCTGCCGCAGCTCGGGGCCCCTTCAAGCTGCCATAGGGGCCCCTAGGGACCTGAGGCCCAGGGGAGCCTCCGCGGGGAGTCAAGGGGGCCTCCTCAGAAGACAACCTGCGGCTGCTGCTGCTGCTGCTGCTGCTGCTGGTCTCCTGCAGCAGCCAATGTGACAACAGAAAAAGAGCATGCAGGTAAAAAAGCCAGGAGCGGAGTTGGAGT